AGACTACCAATTCGTAACGTATACTTCTTTTTTTTTTTTTTGGAAAATACAAAAGAGTTTGCATTGAATTGTGATATGTAAATATGTATGTGAAACGTTTGGGTAAACTTTTTTAAACAATTTGGTATTGATTTTTGGAAGGACTTAGCTGTGAATGAAATATACTAATAACAGAACACATAAAGTCAAATATTAATATATTAAATATATATGCTCTTCTATATAAAGCTTCTATAGGTCTTTTGTGGGAAAAAAAATACACATACACCTTCTGCAGGTCTTTTATTAATATAACATTTCTGGATATTTTGCCATCTATCTAAGATACATACATTCAACACCATGGTTGGCAGAAGGCTTTATTTCATCATATCTTGTTTAGATCTCGTAAAGATTTAAAATCTTCCTAAGGCATTTTATATCCCTTAATGAAAGTTAACACTTCCATTATTAAAATCAGTTGGGAAAAGACAAAAGTCGGGCGGGGCCGACCTTAATTCACTAAGCATATTTAGTAGAGCTTTACATAAGAAATAAAAGTTTTTGTGGAGAATTTGTGAGAACTAAACATACCAACTCTGATTATAATTATAATTTAAAGTCCAAAGATAGTTATATATGGGAGGAGTATCCTCCTCTGAATCGATTTCTACTAAATTTGCACAGGTATTTGTGTTTTTTCAATTCGGGCTTGTATTACCCATTTGGTACACAATTAACTTGAAATCGGATCAAGATATATATGGTAGCTATCTCCAAATCTGAACCGATCTCGATGAAATTTGGCAGAGGTATTTCTTTGTAGTATTTGATATATTTCCCGGAATATCGTTACTATTACCGCTGTGTAGGACAGTTTCAACAAATCGAATGAACAATATATGTATATAGGAGCTATGGCAATATCTGAACCGATTTTCTCCAAATTTGACACACTTGTTTCTAAACTAAATTTCGTAAGTGCCAAATTGCATCCCATTTGGCCCATTTGGGCTAATATTACACGTTTGGTGCGCAATAAAAGGCAAATCAGACAAAGATATATATTGGGAGCTATATCCAAATCTGAACCGATCTCGATAAAATTTAGCAAATGCATTTCTGATTTGTATTTGAGATATTTCTCCAAATATCGTTGTTACAGAATGCATATTATGGTGCGAAGGACAGAAATAATAAATCGAATAAACATTATATATGGAAGCTATAGCTATATCTGAAAATATTTCGATCAAATTTAGCATACTTATTTCTAGGACTAATCTGGTCGTATGTGAAAAATTCAATACCATTTGGTCTGATATTACACATTTGGTGCACAATAAAAGGCAAATCGGACGAAGATATATATGCGAGCTATATCTAAATTTTGACCGATTAACTCCAATTTGAATAGGGTTCGTACTTGGGTCAAACAAATTATTTGTGTGGAGTTTTATCTGGATCGGGCAATAAATGCGACCGGTACTTTGTTTATAAAAATACACGAACAGACGGACGGACGTACATGCATAAATCGACCCAGAATGTAATTCTATGCAGACCATCAAAAGGAACTATAGGTCTATCTCGTTTCCTTTCACCTGTTGCAAACAAATGCACAAAGACATAATACCCTGATCACCTTGTGGAGTAGGGTATAAAAATCCATCAACCACTTAACCCCTTTTTAATAGCTAATAAACAACAATGTACGTCACGAAATCAACGGGCAGTTATAAACAAAACAAAGATTGGCACATAGATTAGTTTTGATATTTTCATTAGTTGCTTCTTCTTTTTCGTAAAAAAATTTTGGTGATCTACCTTTTAATAGCCGTTGCTGCCCAGCTCTTGTGTTTTTGTATTTTATTTGCTAATTTTAAACATTTCATACTTTCTCTTTTTTTATAGTTTGAAATAAAATTAATAATCATTTCATCAGCTTCATCATATACACCATAGTACAAGAAGAGAGAAAAAAATGGAAACGAAATATAAATTCGTTAAACTCTTCGATGTGCTTTTGGATTTTTTTGATGGTTTACTTCTGTCAATGGTTAAGGAATTTCCCAAAAAATTACAAATTTATATTTGCCTGTATTTGGAAGGGAACAAGAGGTTATAAAGGGTAAATGAGTAACATCGGATCTTTTATTAGCGGAATCATTTCTGGTAAATTTTGCTGGGAAAATTGGCACGAAGGGAGAGAATACAAACGATAGATAATAAAGACAGAGAAACACATCAATAACCGGTTTATTTTCTCACTGGGAATGGAAATATTTTACGATGATCATAAAAATACTCTAAACACAGTTATTAGTTTGAACATATTTAAAAATTTCAGTCAAATTGTATATCATAAAAGGCGAGATTTCGAATTTCCCCCAGCAACTAGTTCTTAGTTTCGACTTTGTGCGGTGTAATTTACAGCAAATATTTTAATGTTTACTTTGCTAGTTTTTAACATAATTAATTAACACTTGTATTATTGATAATCAAATATGGAATAGTTTTGTATATTCGCACCTGCTGTATTGAAAACAACATATGTTTGAGAAGTTTGGAATCGAAATCGTCTTTCTGAAAAAATGTGAACCGATAATAGATTTTTACAGCCACAGCTACAGAAGGAACCGCTTTAAATTAAACCTTTTCTGCAGGAAAGTGTTATAAACATAAAATAGCTAATTTGGCCCTCAAAAATTCTGAAGGTACAGTTATGAAGGCTATATGCCAAATTTTGCACCAAGATTGTACATTTCTGCCAAAAAGATACTTTAATTTGAATAAAAAAGGACGCCGGAGCTTTTTTAAATAACTCGTTAATAGCTTAGATTAATATATGATATAGCTCACTTCCAATACCTATCATTTGAGACACAATAAAAACTCATAACAGCTTCATATTTTTGGGTCAATATGAAATCAAAGATTAATTCCTCGCGGGGGAAACTAGAAAGTGGTCTATGTTAAAAATAAATTAAAAACCTGTACGGAAAAGTCATAAGACGGGCGTGGCGACTATATGATACCATACACCACTATGGATATTTATTAGAGCTCCCGTAAAAAAAAAAATTATTTGAAGTAGATTATACCACATATCAATATTTGGCTTTAGAGCAGTTTTAGTTTGGTTTCAGAGGGAACTAATATATGAAAGGCATATCCAATTCAGGATTATAGAAGGATTATATTAAAAAATATATTTCAGAGCCGAGTTCCACAGAGACGTTCATCCCGAAATTCACTCCATTTGGGCTGATATTAGGCATTATTTGCACAAGAAACCTGATATAGGTTTAAGGATATTTATTCTGATACCAAATATCATTTATTGTCACAGAGTGCGCGGAGATAAGAATGCAGTTGAATGTCAAGTCGAGGGACAAATAGCAATTTTAAGACAAATCCGTGGATAAAGTTGCCAAAAATCATCAATATACCAAATATCGGGAGGTATCGTTATGTGGCGGCTATACCAAAAAGTTTAGCGATACATCTCATGTTCAATACCAACCATTCTAGACACAATACTACGTCAAATAATGTGGGCAGTATCGTGGTTTTAACATACAGACGGACGGGTATCGTTAAATCGGCGTAGAATTTTATGCTGATCATAAAAAATTTATACTTTATGACGTCTACGACGAATATTTAGGGATGTTACAAACGGAATGACAAAGTTAATATACCCTCCTTTTCAAGGTGGAGGGTATAAGAATTATCGGCCCGTAAAAGCAGGATTTGACCCTGGGTCAAAATGGGCTTTTAGGTAAAAAATGCGGTAACTCAATTCCGTCGCCAAAGAAGAAATATTTTCCTATGTACTTCTCCAGTACTGGAGTCGAACTCGACTAAAATTTACCGTCAAATACAGACTTGGGAACAACTCTAGTTTATTAAAAACTCTCGATTTTTTGCAATTTTATCCAGAGGTAGGTATTTTTACCCTGATTCCAAGAAACCATTTTTTGGGACGGACCCGGGATCTCAGAATCTTGACCCGAAAGTCCGGGATCAAGACCCGGCATGAACCCGGATCCACTTACCCGATGTAGACAATATAGGTATCCTTTGGAAGCTTATAAAAATACTTATCCAACAAGTGGTATTTATGAGCAGTTCGAATGTTAAATTATATATATTATTATCGGGATCAGGGTAAAAATACCTATAACTGGAAAGAATTTAAAAAAATGATTTTTACTTTAATCTAATTATCTAAATTCCATTTTGCGAAATAATATTATCCAACTAGAAAATGCATTCCAATAAGGTCAAAGACATCCAACAAGGAGAATTCTAATCAGACTTTCAATTCCATGGGAAAAATTGTATGACTGTCAATAATCTTCTATGTTTCATATGAAGAGAGATGAAAACAAAGAAAAAATATTTTTTCCACGAAAACTAGTTTTTGTTTGGGAATTGTTTACATTTCCTAAAAATAACATTACGACACACAAAGATAAGTGGAGACAGCAATAAAAAAAAACACACACACACTGTTTATGGGAGACTGCTGGCCAGCCAGCCAGCCAGTGCAATTGGGAGAGAGCGAGAAACCAAATCAAAACAAATGGTGAATTTGCTATGGATTACTCACCACGCAGTACTCTCACAACCATGAGTCGAGTCGCGTGCTGAATTAAGGTACCAAACAAAAGGAGGTAAACAAAAACATTGGAGGTGCTGTCAACCAGCTGTGCAGTATGGTGGATTGTTGTCACTTTTTGATGTCAAATGTTTTGGGTGAAGAAAATACAACAAAAAGAAAAGTGTGCAATAATAATAAAATAGCACAAAATAATAAGAAACTCAATATACCTGGCCAAAAAGACAAAAGGAGAGCCAAAAGCCGTTTTTGCTGAAGATGAAGTTGTAGCAAAGAATTAGACGGCTGACAGCAATTTTGTTTTCCATGGCATTTAGCAAGACAAACACAACAATGATTGCCATTTAGTGTGAGAGACCTAATGTCTGGCACTGCTGAATGAAACATGACTTACCTGGCCGATCCAGTGACTGTCGTCGACTCATTGGCAATGTTTTCTTTCTCTTGGAGAGGTCAGCTACTTGAATAATCCCAGAAAACTATTGTTGTAGGTGTTTTTGTTGTTGAAAATGTGCAGATATATCTGCTGTAGTTTTTGCTATCGTTGCTAATAAAACTTTTTCTGGAGCAGGTGGTGGGGACAATAATGATGACGATTTTTGTTTGGTATTGAAAATTAAGTTAATTTGGTTCAACTCCGAATTTGAACTCGCCACAAATCGGAGATTTAGTTTACAAAATAGTTTTTGATGCATTCTCCTCCTTGGGCTTGCGGCGATAAACAAAGGCGGCAAAATTCACATCCAACCGAAAATATTTCATTTTATTTACAATTTGTTTTACACTCTCGGTCGGTAGACGGCACTGTTTGGTTGCACAAAGGGATACTGAATAAACTATTGCATTTTTTCTTTCACCAATTGAGGGACCAAATAAGTATCCTTTTTTTGTAGGTGGGGGGAGCCCGAGATGTTATTTCTTATTTTAAGTATACCCGCAAAAATCTGTGCTTAGACAACAAAAAGCCGACGTCGACGCACTAAGGTAATTAAACACGGTGAGTTGAGTATCGGACACATACATATACAGTTCAAGAAGAAGAAGAAACCCGCCGCCGCCGCCGTACACACAATAGACGATGATGACGAACGGAAAAACGAACACAAAAAGGTGAGTAAACACAAACACACACACGCGTAGCTACTATTGGATGGATAGCCATATACAAACGAGCGGCACTTGAAGAACGGCGGTCACTAAAGAACGAGAGAAACAACAAGAAATAAAATAGACAATGACCGAGTCTTCTTCTTCTAATGGGATTTCTGTGTTGTTTTTTTTTTCTTTTGAAATTTATTCACTTCTTTGGGAAATTTTCACATTTTTTATGATCCCAATATGAAACCGGCACTCAACATTAGTATGTCACAAATTACAGGGCGAACAATTTGTAAATAAGCCCGGAATTTTGGCAATTTCTATGCATGTTCCAATTTACACCGCCGTCTATGCAAACATTTAATTGTAGACTGTGGTGAAAATAACAAAACACAAACCACAGTGTGGTCAATTCTCAGCTCTCTTCTCACAATACTCTCCACCACCAATGTTATTGGTCTATGCATTCATTCACAATAGTCAATGGGATTTTTTTGCATTTCTCTTATGGTTGTCATTCTCAATTTGACTGGATGACTAGCTGACTGATTGCGATAGATGTATATATGGTTGTGCTGCTTTTCCCTGTACACTATTCACTCACAATAGCCCATCGATATGTATGCAGCTACTAGATTGATATTGTATTTAGATTTGTTGGCCCATAAACAAAATAAATTTTCACTAATAATCAGACATCAGTTTTTCTTTTTTATATCCAAAATTGCGCTTTACTTCACTTTTTCCATGCACTCTGAAGTTTTGTTTTTGTTATTCTCTGTTCACTTCACTGACTGCTTTTCACACACGCACACACATTACATTGCATACATTCTTCGTATACTTTCTTCTTTGTCGTCTGTTTGCTGTTGTTGTCCACTTGTCTTTGCATGTCTCATCGAGAAAACATAATTTTCTCGATATATTCCTGTAGTTTTTCAATAGTTTTCGTATATCACTTCATTGCTTGGCACTTTCCACTTGAAATTATGCGAAAAATTGGGAGGGATTTTCGCTTAAATTCCCTGGATTTCACAATTTATTTAGTAGGAACCACGAAAACCTCTCGAACGTGTTTAGGGATATGGAAATCGAATTTCGACTAATCGATTGTCGTAACAAGAACCAATAAAAAGTTGAAGTCGATTATTGCCTAGATGAAGTATCGATTATAATCGTTAATTTGATATATACATGATTACAGACCACGCCGCATTTGTGCAATATTGCAGATAAGTTATGAAAATAGCAAGCTCAAATATGTGTAATAAGAAAAAGTTGTGGTAAAACAAACAAACAAACAAAAATCGATGATGGAAAATCTACTCAAGGCCTTCCAAAGTAGAAATTATATGTATTATTGCTCAGTTTCATGGTAGAATTAAAGAAGGTAAAGTCACACAATCATATGTTTATATTTACTTTTTCCAAAATTATACATTGTATATACACATATCAGAAATGGGAACCTGTTTTCTATGCAGTAAAATTTGACAAGGTAAATGACAGAAAGTGAAGAGCATGCATGCTTATTTCAATAAGTTTGAATGTTTTCACTACGATAACTGATGTTATAACTTTTCTATAATTAAAGGAGGCATAATGTCTTGAATCAGTGTGGCATTTCTACTGAGACAGTAGTTTTACTCACTGTCTAGCATTTTAAAAGTGTTTTAATAACACTGTGCACTACAAAAAACAAAAAACAATTACGAGGAAACTCCCACTTTTCCCACTTTGGAAATTTTCGGATTAAGATTCCTCGGAATCCGTGCATTTTGTGAAAATAATGACGTCGGTAATATTCCAAGTAAGAATATGAGGAAGATTTTGGTTGAAAATTTTAACGTTCTAGCGATAGAAGAAAGTGCTCTTTTTGGTCCTTTTTTAAAATATGGTTAAAAACTTCCTTTAAACGGCATCGTAGCAAGTCAAAATATTCTACAAAATTATTTGTCACGAAATTCTACTATAGGCCCTAGAAGACGTCATGAGGGTATATCTTACCTAAGGCCAGAAATCTATGTATATTTAAAACATATTTTCGGATTAAAAAAGTAATTTTTGTGCAAAAAAATCCAACAAAGCAGCATTTTACATAGATGAAATCAAAGACAAAAATATTCTTTATCAAATTTTACTATATAAGCCACAAATGGAAAGAAATTTAAAAAGCAAATAGATGGCGTTGGCAGTGGAAAATGTGTTATGTCACGGTATCGTGACATAGCATTATGTTTTATTTTAACAGAACTGACACTTTAAAGGGTTGTTGTTGATTTTTATCGACTCAATGAACAAGGAAATGCTCTGGAATAGATTTTTGAGAGCATGTCTATCATACTTAGAGGTTTATGTCTAGCTCTTTTTCCATTGTAATTCGGTTTATGCAGTATATTTCTTATAGTTTGAGGTAACATACTTTTCGAAAATCCTTTTCAGCAATTTTTGCGAGCGTCAGTGCACTCAAAAAATGATCTTTTTTGATCTGCCGTAAAATATACTTCTCATCACTCAAGGTAAATAATTTATTATTTACCGTTTTTGACTTATTTTCTACACATCCATCTGTTTTGAACCGTTTTATGATGAACTGAACTGTAGATCGGCTTATATTAACACTTTCACTTAGCGATTTATGGTTTTTGTAGTGTTTAATTACTAAATTTCTTGTGATAAATTAGCTTTTAGGCACTTCCCCAAATACATTTGCCAACAATCACGTAAAGTTGGACGCAGTTCGAAACAGGCTTACCGTATAAATGTAAGCTGTACGTTTAGCTTTTGCATTAAAAAATTTGGCGAGTTTTAGAAAAAATGCCATTATTTTGTTAAATAAATAAAAATAGTTAACTTTTGTTCTACGACTAGTTCCAGTACTCTAAACACTAATAAAAATATAGATTTTTTTCTGGTAGTGAATTTAGTTAAATAATATAATTTTATAATTTTGTTAAATAAATAAAAATAGTAAAATTATGTTCTACGGCTAGTTCTAGTACCCTATGCACTAATAAAAATATAGATTTTTTCTGGTAGTGAATTTGATAACAAACATATTATTGCATAAAGGAAAATTGTTTGCTAAGTGTAAGAGATTAGGAGCTACTGTAATTATTAGAAGGTAGCAGCAAACACCCGCTGATTCGAATCTGTTGTAATATTAGAGTCAAATTCCATATAACGTTTCGTGTTTTACAGTGTTACCTAAAATTCGACGTTTCAAGAAATTCTAAAAATACCGCTTAAATGAGTACAATTATATTGGGGGCTACAGGAAGACGATGTCCTGCATATTTAATTCTTTCAAATATTAAATTTGAATTCCGAAATTCAAATCAAATCTCCGTGATATGAACTAATTAAATGAGTATTTAATGTTGATTATTTATCCTGATGATGCAATTCAAGTAAATGGGAAATATAAATAAAAATATTTTTTTTTATAAATAATAAGATTTTTTCCGAGCTTTAGGCCATTTTCGGATTTATTTTATTGATTACAATAATATGTTCCCAATATTTCGCAATTATCAAATTGCATCTTCAGGGGCAATATTTACATAAAATAGTCAGATTTACTTAACAGCTAATGTAGTTTTTACTACCATTGTCTGGTGTTATTATTGCACTGATTATTTCTACGTATTGCACGATCTCTTCTTTGTCAAGTGTCGATAACAATCGACACTGCTAAGTAAATCTTACTATTTTATGTAAATATTGCCCCTGAAGATGCAATTTGATAATTGCGAAATATTGGGAACATATTATTGTAATCAATAAAATAAATCCGAAAATGGCCTAAAGCTCGAAAAAATCTTATCTATATATATAAAAGGAAGTTGTGTTAGTTACTACGCTTATAACTTAAGAACCGCTGGACAGATTTTAACGATTCAAACAAATTCGGAATTGTCTCTTTTCCGAAAAGGATAATATCCAAAAAAATCGCGTAAAAATGTGATATATTAACATTTTCATTTTGACTTTTGAATTGTACAATAGTAATGTTTTATTTTGCATGATTTTTTTCCATTTTGACTTACTTTTTTCTAATGTACATTTGTAGTGTTTTTTATATTTTATTTTTGAATTCGAATATTAATACCAATTTATTTAATTGACTTGATTTCTTGAGAACTGAAATTGATGGCGGGTCACATGGAAGTGTAGTACCGAATTATGCGGTGGCGAAACGGAATAGAGGATATCGAAATAATTAAACGCGGTCACACCAAAGTTAAAAGATAATTACTTTTTCAAAATCGCTAAAAACTCACGAAAAAAAGATCTCATTGCACAAATTCTGAAATCGGGGAAAAATCGAAAAAAAAAAATTCAATGAAATCGAATTTTAAAATAATAGTACATTCTATTGACAAACTTTGTAAGGATCTTTAAACATTTGCTGTAAAAAATCAGGTAACAAGTTGAAGATTTTTACAATTTGTTATTCTTCCTTTGTCAATTTTTTCAATTTGTATTATCATATTGAATTCAGTTGATTTTTTTGAACAAAATAAAGAATAATTTTTCACTATATACAATTTTTCACCAAAATAAGTGCCTATATCGTGGTTCAGCTGGAAAATGCGGACACATTTAAATAATCAAAAATGACCGAAAAAGCCAAATGGGCCTCATCTCAAAGCGTGAACATACCTTTTTTATGTGACAATAATCCGTCCAATGAGAGATCAAAATGCAAAATTCTTTGAGAGTACAATCAGGAAAATACCAAATATAAAAGGTGCAAAATAGTAGAGCGAATGGGACTTTTATTAAGAAAATGATTTCTATCCTCCCAGAAATTCTTCCCAAACATTCAAGATACCTTAAATCGCTTTTGCAGGTCATGATATAGATCATAACTCACGGATAAGGGTACAACCCGATTTTATATCTATATATATAAATGTAAGTTGTGTTAGTTACTACGCTTATAACTTAAGAACCGCCGGATTAATTTTAACGATTCACACAAATTCGGAGTTGTCTACTCTCCGAAAAGGATAATATCCAAAAAAATCGCGTAAAAATGTGATATATTAACATTTTGATTTTGACTTTTCAAATGTACAATAGTAATGTTTTATTTTGCATGATTTTTTTCCATTTTGACTTACTTTTTTCTAATGTACATTTGTAGTGTTTTTGTATATTTTATTTTTGAATTCGAATATTTATACCAATTTATTTAATTGACTTGATTTCTTGAGAACTGAAACTGATGGCGGGTTACATGGAAGTGTAATAGCGAATTATGTGGTGGCGAAACGGAATAGATGATATCGAAATAATTTAACGCGGTCACACCAAAGTTAAAAGATAATTACTTTTTCTAAATCGCTGATCCGTCCAATGAGAGCTCAAAATGCAAAATTCTTTGGGAGAATAATAAGTAATATACCAATATTGAAATAAAAGGTGCAAAATAGTAGAGCGAATGGGACTTTTAGTAAGAAAAGGTTTTATATCCTTCCAGAAATTCTTCCCAAACATTCAAAATACCTAAAATCACTTTTGCAGGTCTTTATATCGATCATAACTCATGGATAAGGGAACAACCCGATTTCATATTTATATAACCATCTATGATTTAAGTTATTTTTGGGGTCTTGGCCGGCCACTTTTTTCATTTTTTGGCCCTTATTTGACATTTTTGTTTCTAAGGGGGTAGATAACCTCTTCGCATAAAATTTGAAATTTTCAGAGTAGGGCCCATATTGGTATTGACCAAATTCATCAATTGATTTGCCTAAAAAATTTTATTTATGCCACCCTGGGGTAGGGAACCATCATACAGATAATTGCCACATAGGAATTTATTTAAGTAAAGTCCCCACATTGGAGTATCCCCAAGTCCACTTTCACATCTAATGTGTGGTCAGAAAAGAAAATTTTGTATTCTATTGAATTTTTAACCCCCAAGAGAATATTGGTTGGGAACGTAGATTTGGGATGTGCATCCATATGAAATAAATTGTGGAAACATGAAGAAATTACAAATATAAGAAAGTAGCACGGGACCGAATATTTGTTTAATCATCATTGAATTATCCTATGATGAAAATATGGACTTTA